GAATCAGAAAGGCTCCAGTGTCTCCAAGTGTCTTTTAAAATTACAGTGTTTTGTGCTCTACAGGCTGAAAGATTGTTTTGTTTGTTAAAACAATTTCTAATTTATGTTTTTAGAAAGCTTGAGGAACCAGGCAGTTCCCTGCTCTCTTCAGAGGCCGTTGAGTTAAAACAAGGTTGAGTGATTTGTCTTACTTCCATTTAGCTGTAATGAGTATTAAGTGGTTTATCTATGTAGAGAAAAGTTACTCAGCTAGATTACATCCAGGTTGAATTATATCCCATTCCAGATGGAGTATGTTTTTTAGAACAGTAAATCTTGAGGAGGGTGGATAATAACAGTAATACTCCTTCCTGGGCTGGAATGTGACTCTTCTACCTCTTGTGGAGATAAAACTACATCCAATTAGTTTTCCAAAGGCTTAGTAAAGAAACGGGACTGCAGGTTTTACATCTCTGTGAACAATTTAGCTTGAAGCATTTACATTGTGGAAGTGAGCGATGGCTGCTGATGATCATAGTTTTCATCCATTTTGCTGTTGCAGGTAGCAGCCTGGCAGGATATGCCTCTACCTCTCTCCCTGACTTCCTCTTCTGCACCAAGTGTGATGGCTGCCACAGGGAGGGTGCTGAGTGGGAAATTCCTTCCCTCTGGTGCCATCTGATCCACTAAGGCACCCATTGCTCATGCAGCTGGTGCTTGTGGCCCCAAGGGGTAACTAGAGGAGAATGTTGCCCCTGCTGGCATCCTGTCAGCACTGAGTGCCCAAGCATGCTCTCAGAAAGCTTGTCCTTGACTGTGTGTCCTTGGCCACCATACTTGTCTGCTTCTTTCATGCTGTCCCTCCTCTCACTGTGCCACACTTCTGCAGAGCTGACCGCTGTGGTTGTCTGGCCAGGGTAGGGTGAGATGCCGAGTCGCCAGCAGGAAAATAACGGGTGTGAGTGGGCTTGGAATCAGTGCCACGAGGTGGTGGCTGGGTGGGTGTGCTGGGCGTGTGCCCCTGTACCCTGATCTGGCAGCTGCTCATGCCACTGAGGAGAGTGCATTTGGGCTGGTGAAGGTGGAGCATTCCTCACAGCTGGCAGCAGGCTTTGACAAGGGAGTGAGGACCATTCCTTTGATTTCTAATGAAAGGGGATGAGGGGGTCTGAGCTGTCAGTGATCCAGCTCTGCTGCCTCTCCTGGGTGGGTCAATGGGGCCATCCTTGTCTCCTGGCTCTGGGGGAGGGAAGAGAGGAGGGAAATTCACTGATAAGAGGAAGGTCTGAGGCAGAAGAATGTTGGGAATGTGTTTCTTGATCTAATATGGGAGAGACCTAGCCTGGGGTTTTGCTGCTCAGCCCTGCAGTGTTACTGCCTGCTGCTGTGCAAATTATGAAATCTCTTTCAACCTGAACTCAAGATGCAAATGGCTCATCTGGCCCCTACCTCCACACAGGCAGGTCCAGAAGATGGAGGTGATTCATCTCTGAGGGCACAGCAAGGATGGTGATGGCTCTGAGCACTGTTTCTCAGCCTCTGCTCAAGATGGAGCATCTTCTGCTGACTAAACAGCTAATTTTTTTTTTCTTTTTTTTTCTCTCTCTTTTTTTTTTTTTTTTTTTTTAATGTATGTTTTATGTTGCCATAGGGTGTTTTCTGGCTAAGGTCAGATATCAGACATGGTTTGGGGTTGAACAGTGGTGTCTGAAGAATTCTGCTTCTAGCAGGTCTCAGAGCAGGCTTTGAAGACTGGAGGTAGTTGTGGTGTGCATTGGCTCCTGGGAATGCAGGGCTTGCCTTCCCAAGGAGTCCCCTTTTTTTTTGATAGGGGGTATGAAACCACAAGGCGAAGATAATTCTCCATTTCTTTTTCCTTGTCAGTCTTGCTCTATTCTTTCCACCAACCAGCCAGTCAGTCCTGAACACAAAATTCAGGGCCTGAACACAACAGCTTCTGTGTCACCATTCATCTGCTTAACCTATATTTCCTGTAGCCATTAGCAGTGCTGGAACCTGCCACAAGCACATGTTGAAGAGGTTACTCAAGAGGTCTGGGTTACCAGCCTCCACCTTGGGTAACTTCCCACTTGAATGCTTGAATTCAGAGCTGCTGCAATGGACCTCCTGCAGTCTCTCTGCCCTCTGTGGGCTCAGAACTGTGAGAAAAGGCTTGTTTGCATCAGAAATAATTCCCATAAGCTTTTTTCTTTTTTTTTGTTTGCTGTTCTTTGCACACAATGTGGTGTGGTAGTCCACACTATAAACACTTAGGAGTGATAAGAGAGTACAAAGGTGAGGGGGGCCACTGCATATAGCAGGCTCCCTGGTGTTTGGGAAACAGGCTTGGACTACTAATGGGCTAACAGACTTAGTCAATGCTGTGGTTCTTGTGGAGCCTCTGTCTGTTATCAGCGTCACGTCAGCATCACATTGGGATCTTCTTTAGCATTATCGAACATTTCTGCACTTGTTTGTACAAGTGTTGCTGTCTGTGCAGTTTGTGCACTCAGAAACTGTGCTTGGTCCAGAGGCATAGCTCTGATTCCCAGGCAGATGTGGATTAAGCCTCACCTTTGGCATCACTTTGAATTCTTCCTTGAAGCTGCGTTGAATGCCCAGATACTTTGAGATAAAAATCAGGACCTGCTGTATTGTCAGGGTTACTGCATTCACTGTGTAGAGGTGCTCAGCTCCGCTGCTGCCCTGGCACTATGAGGGCATCAGTGAAGCTGAAGTGCAGATGGGAAGGATGCCTTAATCTGACCAGATCTACCAATGGAAGCTGTTGTATCCAATGCACAAATGGAAGTGGAGGAGTCTCTGTCTGTCTTCAAACAGATATGGAGACTAGTTTTGGTACTGTTTAGCCAAATGGGTATTACTGGACTGAATTTAAGGGTAAGTTAACCATGTGTGGTGGCCTGGGGCACAGAGGAGGTCAGACCAAAGGGTCCATGGTCCTCCTGCTTTATATTTAACAATCTCAAACTCTCCTCACACCCTGCTGGGGGACAGGTTCATTACTAATTCAGCAAGTTGTTCAAGCTGATGCTGAAGTCTTGCTGACTTCAGCACTGATCTACTGCAGGATTATACTTACCACCTTTAGCTATGCATGGCTAAATTTGTGGTGCTGTTGACATGAGGCGTTCACAGGGAAGGTGCTGTAGATTGATTCTATAAGCTATAGATTGATTCTATAACCTATTTGGTTTACTCTCTTATCTGACCTGGAGACTCTCGCTGTGTTAGGGTGGTTGTTGGGCAGTTTGTGGTCCCCGCAGCTGAGGGTGGTGTTGCTGTGAACCTTAAAACTACTTAAGCTGTTCACTGAACTGGCGTAGCCTCCTATGGTGTCTTCTTAACCTTTTTCATGAGGACTTGTTTGGATTTCCTGGGTTTGGACAAAGCGTGATCCAGACAAAAAAGTGAGCATGTTTCCTCTGAAAGCGTTTATGCTTTAGACGGGCACTTGACTCGGATCCTTCCTGCTGTTCCTTTATGTGCGGTTTGGCACTTGTCTATGGTAGCACTTTTTCAAGCATATTCCAGTTTTTCTCTTGAATGGTCAAAGCACTCTCAGTGATTAGCTGCAGCTTGCATGCTAGCTCTTCTGCTGAACTGTCCCCAGGGTGGCCAAAAAGAGGCATTCAGGCTTAGTGTTGAGTGCGTTCAGCAGCTACTGGCAAAGGCAGAAAGAAGCTGTTTAGCGCAGAGCCAACCTAAACCTCACACGCGTGTGTGGGTTTGTGTTGGTGTGTGCAGAGCTGCAGCCAGTGGTGCCTGCTCACCGTAGTAGGGCTGATCCTGAAAGGCACTGGCCACGGGCAGCACACATCCACCAGCATTGGTGCCCTTGTTAACACTTGTTTCCTCGCCATTACACACTTGGCAAGAAGTCCCAGGGTTGAATAGCGTCTTTTGCAGTCATCCCATAATAAATGAAATGAGGTAAAATTCAATTCCACTTTTCAGAGCCCTTTTAGGAGAGTGGAAGATGTTTGAGGTTTCTTATATGCTTATGTTGCAAAACTCTTTTCCTCCTGCTGTAACAACTCATGGCCTCTGCTACCCAAATTACAAATGGAGAAGAAATTTTGCAAAGTCCCAAGTGGATGGAAGGAAGTCACTAAGCTATAATGAAAATGGAGAAAAGGTTTTCTGAGGTTCTTTTATTTTCTCCCCTGTGAAATTTGCAAATGTGTTGCTTCAAAGCACAGTTCTAAACAAAAGCCAGATGCTTTGGAGAGCAGTAAGCCACCCACAATGCTCTCCAGCAACTTATCTTCTATGCTAGGCCACCCTGTCTGGTGTTGCTGTCTTAACTGCAATGGTAAACTGGCCACTAAATTCCTTCAGGTTGAATTTTACCATATTATGTGAGGATATTCTGTATTTTATTGTCCTGGTATTTTTCTGGTTAGTGTCATGTGCTTCCACTAGAAAAAACAGATGTCCTGGGGAGGCACTTGCTGTGTGCATGCTGCAGCTCTGTGGCCTTGCTGAATACACTTCTTCCCTTTTTACAGCACTGAAAGTTGTGGCAGTGATCTCATAGAGCTGTGCCAACAGCTTACTTTTGTGAGTTTTTCAGTTGTTTTTGAAAGCAAAAGGCACGTGTGTGGAGGGGTTGTTTATTCAAGCCTAAAAGGAAACATCTTGTTCTGTTGTGGAGTATTTTAGTGCATTTTAGATGAATGAGAATTGCTTTCAAACCCAGGAAATTACTTTTATAAAAATACAGTAGTTCAACTTCACTTTCCTACTGTATCCCCCCACTCTTAAAACTGATGGCACCAGTAAGGATTCACAGAAGATATTGCTAATGCTGAACCTCAGCTTTTTAGTGAAAAAAACATTTTGATACATTCCCTTCCTCACCCTATACACATGGGGTTTTATTCATTAGGTCTTTCCCAAACTTACCTTCCATGGAGTGGGAAAACATTTTACTGTTTGACAATGCTTTCCTCTAACACAAGAAGCTTAAACGTGTTTTTTTTTCTCTTTTTCTAAAGATTCGTCTTCCAACTATATCAGGCAACTTGAGACAAAAGTGAAACTGCTGGAGGATGACAACAAGCTTCTTTCCCAGGTAGGTTTTTATTGCCTAATAGGTGGTAGTGTGGCTCAGTTCTGTGTTTTCCATTTGGCTGTGTCTGACTGCCCATTTGAAGGCACAAGGGCTTTTGGTAAACGTCTTACCCAGGAAGAACATAATGGTCTTTTCATATTAGGCCCCACAGATAGAATTTGGTCTGCTTTTGTTAAAAACAAAAAAAAAGTAGGACAAAAAAATTGAATCCTCTGTTAGTGTCCGTATGTGTTTCAGAGATGCATTAATGCCTCCCTGCAGAGCTCCTTGATCCACTGCTGCTCTTGAGGATGCTGTGAGAGTCCAGCGCTTCCTGTGCCCTTGCTGTAGGATTTTGTCTTGCTTGCCCATCTACATTGACTTTTATCTTGTTGAAAGAGGAGACTGTATTCAAAGGACCGCCTTGGGAATAGTTTTGTGCTGTATGGGCTCCCAGCTTTTATTTGAGATCTTACTTAAATCTGAACAGACCTCTCTAAAGTGGCACTTTTTGCTTACATCTCCCTTTCAAAGTCTACTCCACGTGCCACTGGGCTTTTGATTACTCCTGGTGCTTACCTGTCTTTATAGAGCAATGTCAAGCAGTGGGAAGAAAGCAGTTGTTCTGTCTGGTATGTCCTCTGGATCCCCTGTAAAACCCAGCAGTTAGTATAAACAGGGGCAGCTTTGCTGCATTCAGTGAAGCACTGTCTATTTAGACCATTGGAAAAGTTACTCTTTTTTTCTTGTTCTTTGCGTCCTTCCACTGTGTTATGTTCTACCCTCCCGGCACTTTAAAGGCTTTTTTTCTATACTTTGCTTCTTACTTCAAGCACCGAGTTTCACAGTGATTTTGTTCCAGATTCTTTCCAATTATAAGGACTGGAAATAAAATAGGCCTTCTAAAATTATTTAAATACCTTTTTACTAGTTTATATTGTGCTGTTCTTTTCACCAAATCTGAAAATAGACTGCTCCAGGATCACATTTCTAAAACATTCCCATTTAAAATAAACAAACAAAAATAATAAAGAGCTCTATGCTTACTGAAATTTCAATAAAATAATTTTGTCAAACCTTATTTTTTCTGAATTTGATCTGATTGTGAGCCTTTTTAAAGATTCTCCCATATTTCCAGTGTACTCATTGACTTTGCTAGCCATGAAACGAAACTCATAGGGCACCAAAGGGTTAAACCCCCAAAGAGTGCTCAACTCAACAGCTTTGGAGTTGCTTCATGTATTAATCGATTACTAATTTAATTTTAACTTCCTCTGTCTTTCTCCCAAACTGAGAGTGAGCCGGTGTCTGGTGGCGGTCGAAACCCCGAGACTATTTAATTGGAGCTATTGATAAGCAGATGGGCTGCGTGTGGACAGTTGGGATGTGCATGGATTTGGGGATGGGCTTGATGTGCCCTTGGCCTAGCTTTGTCCTGCCACAGCCGAGCACATTGCTTTGTCTGATCTGCTTTATGAGGTCAAAAAAAAGTGATTGGTAATTAATGATGGTAATAAATAGGGGCTGAATAGCTGCCTGGGCTTATTGCATCGGGAGGATGAAGCCCAGTTAGCTTCGGGGTCTGTTGGGCTGCTTCAGGCTCATGCATCAGCCCTTCAACTCTGCGCTGTCCTGGGTGTGAAGGCTGTACCTTTTCCTCCACGCAGGTGTCATCACCATTCAGACTGTGTCACTACAAACATTTGAGTTCAGGGGGGAGAGAAATGACCTTAAAATAACTCTGTGTTTTGGAAGGCCTGCCACCTCCCCAGCAGCAGCAGGCACTGATGCTACCCTGGCTGTGATCTGCTGTGCAGCCTGTGTGTGATGTCTTAATGGCCCTCCAAAAAGACCAGGATCCAACCTATTTTAGATCATGCTATTTATTGTGAGCCAGGAGTCAGCTTTCATTAGGGCAACAGAAGTGTTGAAGCTACCATAACCTAGGTGAACTCCCTGGGAATACTGCAGCTGCATCACCTCCAGTCTGTCATACTACATACCCAGATTTGGATTTTTTTTCTCTTTCAATGAGAAAGATTAGGAAAATCTGCATAGATGCAAACTGACACGCATATGTACATGTAGCTCCCAACGCTTGCCCAAAAAATTATAATCCACTTACTGTATTCTTACTTGCTTTGTCTGATTGGAAAATGTTTAGCTGTTACCGTGCGGATCTTGGGATAAGACTCTAGTCAGAAAGTATCCTGGCAAATTTCTTTCTGTTTTGAAAGTTGCCAGGTGATCCTGGCCATTTGAACTTTGCAATGCCAAACTGGCATTGTCGACACCAAAGTCACATTTTAACTCAGCTTGTCTTTCTCCCTGGGAGTATTGACTTTGCAATAATATTTGCAGCCTGGTGTCAAGAAGTTCTATCACCAGTGTGCTGAGGAGCGATGAAACCTGACGTCCTAAGTAACAAACAGTGCCTGTGCATTAAGGGATTAACAAATCAGTGGTGGTTATGGAAGTCTTCCTGGATTCCTTCCAAGTGCTAAACATAGAGCTGAAATAATGCTTCATCCAGAGAAACCCGAGAAGGCCGGTGCTGCAAGAGATATTTGCAAGCTTTACAGGAGGATTTATATTCCAGTGGCCAGTGACACAATACCCCTTTGCTGGCTGGTGCATCTTGAGCGAGATTTGTTGCTTTATCTTCTTCAGCATCTGTTGGTGGTGCTGCTGAGAGGTGGTGTCTTTGTACCCACTTCTGATGTGGCATTAAGTTGGTGCTGGAGGTCCTGAGCCTGCACTTTTCTCCTGCTTCCTGACATAACCTTTTTCTATAAGCACTTTGGAAGAAAGCCTCAGTGGGAGAGTCAAAAGCTCTCCAGCCTGTGCCTGACAGCTGCTCTGCGCTGTGCATGTTACCTGCAACACAGTGTGTGGGGATTCACACACAGTGTGTGGGGATTCACACTTCTGTTTTTCTAGTGACTTATTTGAACAGGTTAATGGAGAGAGCTTTTCTTACTCTTGGGAGATCAAGAAATACCATCTCACAAGCCACACTTTGCAGTGGGAGGAAAATAAATGGAGATGGGGTGTTATTTATGATAGCCATAAAGGATTTTTTGTTGTTGTTGTTTTGACATCTTTTGCTTTCTAGGGGAGGAGATGTGTATTTCCAGTTGGGAAATGAGCTGCTTCTTATTTTGCTAACCCATCAGTAAAGATCGCTCTTCCCATTCTCGTTTGAGGAGAAATGACTCCAATTTTTACTTTTCCTTTTTACTCAGTTTATGCTGTAATGTTTTGCTGGCATGGTCGTGTTAGCTGGAAAGTCATGCTTTTTCTTGGGTGGCATGGCTATGCTGGCAAAATCTCTGGCAGCAGTTCTGGGGAATGCTGTAGCAAATACCACTACCAGAAAAGGCCCCTCAGCCCTGCTCTCCAGTGCTGGTAGGTGTAGGTGTGTCCACAGTGGCAAAGACCCCACAAAGCCAAGTGGGGACCTCTGTGTCTTGGGATTGACAGTGTGAGCCTTTCTCACAAGTGTAGCTGGTCTCTGGAAGTTTTAGTTGAAGTATAAAGAAGATGAATGCAAGCTCCAAGGAATGTTGTGTGTTGATTTTGAAAAGCTTCATGGGCATCACTTTTATAGTCTCAAATTCTCCAGGGAAGAAGTGCACTGAGTTCTGCTGTGTTCATGTAGTCAATCTGTGCAACATCATGTGGGAGAAGCCCTCATTTTCCTATGCATCTTGTGGAAAGTGTTCAGGAGAGCTGGTGTTAACCTTTCTTTAGTGGTATGTGGTTGACTAGGTGAGGTTACCTTCCGTATTGCTAAGATATAACCCCTGAGGTGGGAGACCGTATTTGGTTTCCATTTAGGCATTCCCCTGAGCTGAAGGTGTCCAAGAAGAAAATAGACCCCTTAAGCCATCTCACACTGACCCTTGAACTAAAAAGGAATTTTTAATTACACACTTTCCCCTTAAGATTAGAGAGACCTGTGTTTATAACATTTAGGAACTCCAAAGGCCATTTCTGGTTAGTTTTATAAGTAATGCGTACATTTTAGAGATAATAACAGTGACAAACTTCTGGCTATTCTTTCACATTGTCTTGCATTTTCAGCTCATTCTGTACAATGGCAAGGATTGAGCACTTTCAAACAAAATTGAATTTTATAGGCTTTGTGGACTCATCACCCTGTTCTCTCTCCTTATAACTAACAACTGTGCCCCATGAGCTGGCTATCGGGACTCTTTTTGATTTATAGTCTCTGCTGAGCTGTGTCTGGCTTTTCCCTCCAGAACAGAAATGCCAGAGGCATTTTTCTATTCAAAGATGCCCAGGGCATATTGTACACCTTTGTTTCAAAAAACCCAGCTTTGAACAGAGCAGATTTTTGGGCAGGTGAGGCTCTGAGTAACTGGACGTTTGACAATGAGGTCCTGGTGCATCTTTCAGGGAAAATTTCAAGTCCCCTGGAGCAGAGCAGAATTAAAAAAAATTCTCTATGGAGTGACAGCCCTTGGAATTTATGAAGAACATAAGAGTATTTAATTAAAATTGCGAATAGACTTCAGTATCACCAGCATTCACAGCAGTTCAGTATCTGCCTGCTAGCTGACTGGGATTTAGAGTATGCTTGGAAGGCCTTTGAAGCATCCCTAGAAGTTCTTGAAAACTATGCTTGGTCTTATTTTTAAGAAACTGCATGCTTAGCCTAAATTGAAAGAAGGCTGCAGCTGTGCAGATAGTAAAATAATGGTAGGCAGTGGCTATAAACACTGCTATTAAAACAGAGCTGAGGTGTTTGACCTGGGAGCTTCCATGGCCAGGGCATCTGCAGGCTGCTGCAATTTTTAGGCAAGTGGGATCTTGGCACAACTGTGCACTCAGCAGGCAGCTCCCAGCATATAGGTCTGAAAACAAGGGGGAAAAATATGGACTGCAGGATTGAAAAGAGCCTCATAATTGTTAGTACTGCAATGAACAAAGATGTAAATGCCATTCAGTGGAGAGCCTGATCTCTTCCTTAGGAGCAGAGGATGGAGGAGAAAAAT